TCCAGATGATGAGAACAATGTACAGTAAGGGCACAAAGTGTGAGATTCATAGAAAAGTTTTCCTAAGAATATTTCCAATCCTTTTCTCACACAAGAGAAAATGGGTTAGGGGGCGTTGGGTATAACTTTATGGAACAAAGGGGGCGGTGGATCGAAAAAGTTTGAGAATCACTGATCTAAAGGAAGTTTTTGATGATTAATTTTGCTATTTGGGATAAAGTATTCAGTTTTATAAATTGCAAATACACAAAATTGAATTATATTTAAATCTTGCTCTGTATAGGAACAGATTCGGGTTTCAAGAAAAAATCTGGATTCTTTTGCACCTTCATAAGTTCGTCGTAAATATTCTTATAAGCCTAAAAAAGAGAATTTTAAACACATCATTCGTAAATTTATGACAAAATATTTTAAATAATAATATAAGAAATTACTTGTCCATCCGATTTTCCCAAAACAGAATTGAGAAGGAAGTCGGTGGGTGCAATGGCATCGGCCAAGGCGACAGAATCGTCCTTTAAATCCACACACAATTTCAGAATTGCTTCTTCTAGCAGCGATGAAAAAGTTTTACAGCAATATTCTCCTAGATTTTCAAATAAGATCATTGCTAAAATGCACTCAACATAACAAATTTTCATAAAAATCAATTCAGCCATTCTCAGACAGAAAGGCAGACATAAATTCTATTTTATTTATGTAAATTGATTTATAAGAAGACCATTATAAAATTATTTCTTCTTTACCTTCGTATAACTGTCCTAAATAATTCTGTAATCTCCACAGACCATACAGACAACCGAGTTTCTGCAGAACTCGAGACATACTGACATCTTCTACGCTTTGTATAAATCTTGAGAATGATATCAACATAGTACGCTAGAAATAAAATATAATTAGCTGTATTTTCTTGGCGTAAGGTTGCCGTTGACAACAAATCGCGCGAGAGCACTTTTAGTGGAAGAAGGTCGGTTTATTGATAGGAAAGGATACGCATTTCGGGCTTAATGCCCCTCTTCAGTCCTATTATAACAGATTTATCAGAAAAATTATTACAGAGTTACAGATTTACCGATTGTACCGAAATATTTAGGATACGTGTACAAAGTTTTATGCAATAAAACATAATTACCTGAGATTATAGTGACAGTTAGAATAACACGACTGGTGAGAAGACATGGGTGAAAAGGGGGAACATGTGCTAAAATAGAAAGTGGTAAACTTAAAGTACATAATTAAGAGGCGGAATTTTTATAAAATTATAAGGGGCGTTCAAAAAGTTTCCGTTTAAGGACGTGGCACCCGATGCGTTTCAATGTCGAAGGCAACACTTCCTCCAGCGCATTGTTGCTGGCGACGAAAGCTGGTGCCACCACTGAAAACCTGAGTCGAAAGCGGCGACCGTGCAGCGGTGTCATCCTTCGTCCCCTCGTCCCGAGAAGTTCGAGAGCCAATCATCTGCTGGAAAAGTGACGCTTACCCCGTTCTTCGATCACCATCGCTTATTGTGTCTCCATCACTGGGGCACGGCACTGCGAAACGCTGAGAGATTACGACGCGCAATTAAGGCGAAATGGGGTGATTCTGCTTCGTGATAACGCGCGTCCCCATACCGCAAATGTCGTAACGCAGAAGTTACGCGCACTAAAGTGGGAGACACTCGAGCAGCCGCCTTACAGTCCCGTGCGATTTTCACGCTTTCGGTTCCTTAAAGAAATCCTTAAAAGGACGTAGAAGCGCAGCGGGCAGTTTCGGACTTCTTCGAGCGGCAGAAACAGGAGTTTTACCAACGGCGTATATTAAACCTGGTGGATCGGTGGGATGCTTGCCTAAATGATCGCGGCGCTTTTGCGTGACTGGCGTACCAAATCTGGACTGTACAGCCTTCGAACGGAAACTTTTTGATCATGCCTTATAATAAGGAAATACCTATAGGCTGAGAAATAATTCCGATAAAACGTACAAAAAAACATAAGCCAGATAGGAGAGGTTAAAAAGATGCGAGTATTCCCTGTATCGTTCACTGAATGTTTGGTGCGTTGATTTACGCAGTGAGATACGATAGAGGGAGGGATGTAGTACATCTTAATGGGCTTTGCTACTTAGTTAGGAATGGTTGCCAGATGTCATTGATGACTGCACCTGTGTTAAGGTTCATTCTGTGTATTTCATTTGTTTCGATAATCTCAATATGTTCATAAAAATTTCCTTTGATAATATTTTTTCTTTTTTAAGAATTTTGACGCTGTCGAGTGAGATCTCGCAGCCTGCTCGGTTGCAACGAGTGGCGACTGCCGAGTTCGTGGCTCTTATACGCTTTTTTTTTACGGGTTTTTAACGCTCCGCTAGTTTCACCTATATAATAGTACTTTGGATGACACGTACAAGCGAAGGTGTAAACAAGATTATTATTTAATAAAACGTCAGCATTACTATTAGTTTGTTCTTTGGTTTTCAAGAAATTTTTGATTTTATTGTTTAGTGTGAGTGCTAAAATTATATTATACGGTGTTAGTATTCTTTGGATGTTTTCAAAAGTAGTGGGGGTATAATCTAATTTTTTTGTGTCTTTGGTTTGGATTGACCCGACGAGTGGTTGTGTAACCATTTGTTGATAATTCTGTTTGGGTAGTTATTTAGTTGAAAGGTGCGATAAATTTTGTCTATTTCCATGTTTTGGTTAGTAATATCACTTGTACGTGCTTTGATTTTCTTGACATACGTATTGGATATGTTCTTTTTAATATACACGGGTGCGCTGGAGTAGTAATTTGATTACTTTACTGACGTCACAGGGTTTTATAACTTTTTAAAGATAAGGGGCCGTCCATAAATTACGTAAGGGCGATTTTGGCCTTACTAGAAAAATAAAATCTTGTTATTCTATCAGTAAAACTGGTAGAATAACAAGATTTGCCCCCACTCACCCCTGTGTAAGAAACCATAATATTTTCTTTGATCCCCCTATCCTCCCTATCTTACGTAATATTTAGGCATGATTTTATAGAAAGACTTTAACAAAAAAATTTTTTATGAAACCCTAAAAACCTTAGGTCCAAAATATGTAATTATTAATTAGTTAATTAATATGTACTATTATTTATAGAAGACTTTACGTGAACAAATTTAAAAATATAAAAATTTAATGAATTCGAATGAACAATTTATTTTAAGAACGTTATTTTTTATTATCAACAATCTTTTATTATTTTCATTAATCAACGTCATAATATTAATTTTTATATTAATTTTAATTTTCGCAGAAGGACGCAAAAAAACTTTGCAGATGCACTAGCTAGTGCACGTGTAAACAGAAACGTCATACAAAATAAAACAACATTCTGTTGCCATATTGATTTCATTTTGGCTAAGGTCAATAAAATAAACTGCACGCTGCTAAAATGTGGTAGCGGCACCTGGGTACTAAATCATAAAGCCTGTAAAACTCTATATAACGGGGAAATACAATCAATGCTACTTAACGCGGCCTCTAGCTGGGGTCGTGTAACTAGTAAAAATTCAGTAGCGAGTAAATCACTCTCTCTTCAAAACAGTTTGTCATCACAACTGTTTCTACTAATGCATCTCTGATTCTAGCGGAGCTTCTTCCTTTGCCACTATGTATTGTAGAAAAGGTTCTAAACTACCACATCGGAACTACTACACCAGTGGCCAAGCAGTCTTCGCACCCCAAACACTGGCGGCCGATTGCACAGACAGAGTTTACATTAAACGACGTTTACATTGGCTCTTACTTACTTCGCTATTACTCCCCTGTTTTAGGAGTCGTTCGGCCAATCGGATTATTTCTTCGTGACGTCAGAAATGGTCGAGTGAGTCTAGAAAATAGGTCAAATAACTTGTTTCTAATCGCTGTCTACAAGACAGCGATTAGAAACAAGTTATTTGACCTATTTTCTAGACTCACTCGACCATTTCTGACGTCACGAAGAAATAATCCGATTGGCCGAACGACTCCTAAAACAGGGGAGTAATAGCGAAGTAAGTAAGAGCCAATGTAAACGTCGTTTAATGTAAACTCTGTCTGTGCAATCGGCCGCCAGTGTTTGGGGTGCGAAGACTGCTTGGCCACTGGTGTAGTAGTTCCGATGTGGTAGTTTAGAACCTTTTCTACAATACATAGTGGCAAAGGAAGAAGCTCCGCTAGAATCAGAGATGCATTAGTAGAAACAGTTGTGATGACAAACTGTTTTGAAGAGAGAGTGATTTACTCGCTACTGAATTTTTACTAGTTACACGACCCCAGCTAGAGGCCGCGTTAAGTAGCATTGATTGTATTTCCCCGTTATATAGAGTTTTACAGGCTTTATGATTTAGTACCCAGGTGCCGCTACCACATTTTAGCAGCGTGCAGTTTATTTTATTGACCTTAGCCAAAATGAAATCAATATGGCAACAGAATGTTGTTTTATTTTGTATGACGTTTCTGTTTACATTAATAATGCCGCGTAAGATACGTATGAAAAATGAACTTAGATCGAACTTGTAACTTAAAAGGTGATTTTCCTTTCTTAAATAAAACGTAATACAAAATATTACGGCAAATTTTTATAATAAGATTTTAAAATTAGTTTACTTCGGCCGCTTTAATAGCGGCATCCGGCTTATAGCCCGATAATTCGGCAATTCGTTTGGCTTTAATAATCGAGTTTACCAAGAAAAACTTGCTACTCGTTCGTATCCTGGCCCGATTTGCGCAACCCGGCGTTACGCGCTTAGCGACGGTATAAGCGCAATTATTCCGGATATTACGGGTTCCGACCGGTAAAGAATTTTCCTAGTCCCGCCGCAAATAGGCTATCGACCGCTTGTGACGNTCTTTCTATAAAATCATGCCTAAATATTACGTAAGATAGGGAGGATAGGGGGATCAAAGAAAATATTATGGTTTCTTACACAGGGGTGAGTGGGGGCAAATCTTGTTATTCTACCAGTTTTACTGATAGAATAACAAGATTTTATTTTTCTAGTAAGGCCAAAATCGCCCTTACGTAATTTATGGACGGCCCCTTATCTTTAAAAAGTTATAAAACCCTGTGACGTCAGTAAAGTAATCAAATTACTACTCCAGCGCACCCGTGTATATTAAAAAGAACATATCCAATACGTATGTCAAGAAAATCAAAGCACGTACAAGTGATATTACTAACCAAAACATGGAAATAGACAAAATTTATCGCACCTTTCAACTAAATAACTACCCAAACAGAATTATCAACAAATGGTTACACAACCACTCGTCGGGTCAATCCAAACCAAAGACACAAAAAAATTAGATTATACCCCCACTACTTTTGAAAACATCCAAAGAATACTAACACCGTATAATATAATTTTAGCACTCACACTAAACAATAAAATCAAAAATTTCTTGAAAACCAAAGAACAAACTAATAGTAATGCTGACGTTTTATTAAATAATAATCTTGTTTACACCTTCGCTTGTACGTGTCATCCAAAGTACTATTATATAGGTGAAACTAGCGGAGCGTTAAAAACCCGTAAAAAAAAAGCGTATAAGAGCCACGAACTCGGCAGTCGCCACTCGTTGCAACCGAGCAGGCTGCGAGATCTCACTCGACAGCGTCAAAATTCTTAAAAAAGAAAAAATATTATCAAAGGAAATTTTTATGAACATATTGAGATTATCGAAACAAATGAAATACACAGAATGAACCTTAACACAGGTGCAGTCATCAATGACATCTGGCAACCATTCCTAACTAAGTAGCAAAGCCCATTAAGATGTACTACATCCCTCCCTCTATCGTATCTCACTGCGTAAATCAACGCACCAAACATTCAGTGAACGATACAGGGAATACTCGCATCTTTTTAACCTCTCCTATCTGGCTTATGTTTTTTTGTACGTTTTATCGGAATTATTTCTCAGCCTATAGGTATTTCCTTATTATAAGGCATGATCAAAAAGTTTCCGTTCGAAGGCTGTACAGTCCAGATTTGGTACGCCAGTCACGCAAAAGCGCCGCGATCATTTAGGCAAGCATCCCACCGATCCACCAGGTTTAATATACGCCGTTGGTAAAACTCCTGTTTCTGCCGCTCGAAGAAGTCCGAAACTGCCCGCTGCGCTTCTACGTCCTTTTAAGGATTTCTTTAAGGAACCGAAAGCGTGAAAATCGCACGGGACTGTAAGGCGGCTGCTCGAGTGTCTCCCACTTTAGTGCGCGTAACTTCTGCGTTACGACATTTGCGGTATGGGGACGCGCGTTATCACGAAGCAGAATCACCCCATTTCGCCTTAATTGCGCGTCGTAATCTCTCAGCGTTTCGCAGTGCCGTGCCCCAGTGATGGAGACACAATAAGCGATGGTGATCGAAGAACGGGGTAAGCGTCACTTTTCCAGCAGATGATTGGCTCTCGAACTTCTCGGGACGAGGGGACGAAGGATGACACCGCTGCACGGTCGCCGCTTTCGACTCAGGTTTTCAGTGGTGGCACCAGCTTTCGTCGCCAGCAACAATGCGCTGGAGGAAGTGTTGCCTTCGACATTGAAACGCATCGGGTGCCACGTCCTTAAACGGAAACTTTTTGAACGCCCCTTATAATTTTATAAAAATTCCGCCTCTTAATTATGTACTTTAAGTTTACCACTTTCTATTTTAGCACATGTTCCCCCTTTTCACCCATGTCTTCTCACCAGTCGTGTTATTCTAACTGTCACTATAATCTCAGGTAATTATGTTTTATTGCATAAAACTTTGTACACGTATCCTAAATATTTCGGTACAATCGGTAAATCTGTAACTCTGTAATAATTTTTCTGATAAATCTGTTATAATAGGACTGAAGAGGGGCATTAAGCCCGAAATGCGTATCCTTTCCTATCAATAAACCGACCTTCTTCCACTAAAAGTGCTCTCGCGCGATTTGTTGTCAACGGCAACCTTACGCCAAGAAAATACAGCTAATTATATTTTATTTCTAGCGTACTATGTTGATATCATTCTCAAGATTTATACAAAGCGTAGAAGATGTCAGTATGTCTCGAGTTCTGCAGAAACTCGGTTGTCTGTATGGTCTGTGGAGATTACAGAATTATTTAGGACAGTTATACGAAGGTAAAGAAGAAATAATTTTATAATGGTCTTCTTATAAATCAATTTACATAAATAAAATAGAATTTATGTCTGCCTTTCTGTCTGAGAATGGCTGAATTGATTTTTATGAAAATTTGTTATGTTGAGTGCATTTTAGCAATGATCTTATTTGAAAATCTAGGAGAATATTGCTGTAAAACTTTTTCATCGCTGCTAGAAGAAGCAATTCTGAAATTGTGTGTGGATTTAAAGGACGATTCTGTCGCCTTGGCCGATGCCATTGCACCCACCGACTTCCTTCTCAATTCTGTTTTGGGAAAATCGGATGGACAAGTAATTTCTTATATTATTATTTAAAATATTTTGTCATAAATTTACGAATGATGTGTTTAAAATTCTCTTTTTTAGGCTTATAAGAATATTTACGACGAACTTATGAAGGTGCAAAAGAATCCAGATTTTTTCTTGAAACCCGAATCTGTTCCTATACAGAGCAAGATTTAAATATAATTCAATTTTGTGTATTTGCAATTTATAAAACTGAATACTTTATCCCAAATAGCAAAATTAATCATCAAAAACTTCCTTTAGATCAGTGATTCTCAAACTTTTTCGATCCACCGCCCCCTTTGTTCCATAAAGTTATACCCAACGCCCCCTAACCCATTTTCTCTTGTGTGAGAAAAGGATTGGAAATATTCTTAGGAAAACTTTTCTATGAATCTCACACTTTGTGCCCTTACTGTACATTGTTCTCATCATCTGGAAACCATTAAACGCAATGTTTCCTCTTATCAGCCCCAATTTTGCCTTTGGTCACCGTTCAATACCCTGCCTCTATCATAGATCTATTCATCGCGCCAGAAGCGGGCGTTATTGCTTACTTTGAGAAACACTGAGCTAAAATAAAAGTGAATGTGTTAGAAATATTCAAGTTGTGACCTTCAATAAAAAATAAAAAATATATAAAATGTCAACATTTTATATATATTCCGTCGAATTTTTATATATAGAATTTGTTTGCCGTCGCCCCTCTATATTTCCTTAACGCCCCCAATTCTCTTTGAGCCTTCTACTGCCCCCATGAAAGCCTCCAGCGCCCACAAGGGGGCGTTATCGCCCACTTTGAGAAACGCTGCTTTAGATGATGATGAAAATTTAATATAATATTTATATGTAAATAAATGAAATAAATTTTATAACCTAAACTGTTTTTATTTTATGACTTTGTGTAGTAGTGTCATACTTGAAGTAATCAAGATTCCTTTGTCTCTTAGAAAGAATTTTGCCAGGCCGGGGGATGTTACAAAATATCTGATTTTTTTGTGGAATGTGGTTACTCGGCTAGCGAAGAAATGAGAATAGAGTCTGAAGCTGCAGACCGGTAGCGAGAAGGTTTGCGTATGATGAACTGGAAGATAGGAAAGTTTACGACTTCATAAAAGATGTAGCAAGGGCGGATCCAGCGAGAAGAAAATTGAAAAAGAAGACAGGTACGAGGCAGTGTATATGAGCCGAAGAAGAAGGCCAGACTTGAGAAAATAATGAACATAATGCTGCGTGAATGTTGCACGCGTGACAGCCACAAACTTTTCAGCTTGGATTTTCATGGCATCCGCTTCACGAAGCCGATGCCACGAAACCCAAGCTGAAAAGAAGTCAGAATTTTTACTTTTTGTCCTGTTTTATTATGTAATATTCTTAATAGCTAATGATTTGCTTCTTCTCCAAAGGACTTATCAAAACACAACTCTAATTTGAAAGTTGAATAACTTAAGAGATTTCTTTATGAAACTAATTTGTACTGTACGTACTGTACATCTGGTATTGGTCAATATCCTTCATCAGTTGGATCGTTTTTCTTATATACATTTGTGCTTTTAAAATTATATTTTCATAGAATTTTAATACAATACAACTTTAAAGAAAAATTGTAGTTTCATCTTTTTTTCGTTACAAAATATATTTAAAGTGTTTAATCTTCATTGATACAAAATTAAATTGGACTTCATTACGTCACACTTAGTCTAGATCAGAGGTCACCAAACTTTTTTCACAGCGGCCAGATAACAGAATGACGAGCAGAACCATTTTGTTGACAAAAAATAAAGACAACCAACGTACTTATCGATATTTATCAATACACAAACACCATGGCTGCAGCAAGCTCGTAATCGCTTTTCTTAGAACTTAAGCCCTGGTCACACTATGCGATTTCCAGCCGCGCAGGCGACTGCAACCGCGACGGCTGTTCCCGTTAACTAGTAATTTCCCCTCGAAAACCGGTGCGACTGCAATCGCAACTAGAAACAAAAAGTTTGTTCTACTCGCGACGATTGCAAACGCGCATCCAATCAACAAACGCCTTTATGCCACGTCATACAGTGACAACATTGAAAATAGTTCATCATCATGGCGGATAGTCAGAGGATTAATACTTTTACAGAATCGAGATTGATCGAGCTTATTCAGGCTCACCAATACCTGTGGGATTTTAATTCTTCGTTTTATCGAAGATTTTATCTTTTCATGTATTTTCGCCAGCTCTATTAAAATAATCGCCTTTTTTCTTTTATTCATTCCAGAAAAGGAACTGCTTGCTATTTTAATAAGAAAAGTGGCTAAAATTCCGTAAATACTCTGACGTAGAACGTAAAATATCGGCAAACTCACGAAAGTAGTCAAAAACAAGCTACTGTAATTTTATTGGTTTATTATAGGGCCACGTGTTTCCGAGTTGCAACGTCAACGAACAATGTGTGACCACGAGAAGACGCGCGCGACTCGCGCTTGTTGCAGTTGCAGTCGCCTGCGCGGCTAGAAATCGCATAGTGTGACCAGGGCTTTACGCAAAAAGTCGCCGAATTTTTTATTTCACCGATTTTCCTAAAAATTATATTACAGTCAAATACAAAAATCAGATTGGACCAATTTTGCCATTTTTACTTATACGTAGATTACTTTTTCTGTATAATAATAAGTTCATCTTACAATCTATGATATTCTCATATAAATAATTAGACGGTGCGGCGGCGGGCCGTAGTTTGGTAACTCCTGGTCTACATCAAATAGACACGCATACAGGCGGGCTTATCACACCAGTGAACGAGATGAAATTACAAATCCTTTCATGATTATTTACTAAAAATACTTTAAAAAAAGAAATAGCCTACCACGAACATATAGAAAATTTAAAAATTAAATCAGAAAAAAAATTAATGAAGTTTACGAATAAAATATGATGCGGGGTCATTTCATCGATAAAACCAAAAATAAATTAATAATTAATGACGTAATAATAGGTGACACTCGAGGTGTATAAATATACAAATTAGGTGTGAGCTCGAGCCGAGATGGTGCGTATTAGACCCGTGTTTCTGTTGTGTACTAAGTTGTTTCAGCTACTTCAACCCAAGTGTTCATTGTGAATATATATCCATCACTTTACATTTATAATATTTTATAATAATAATAATTTTTGGCAAATTGTATTTAGTGTTCTCGAGGCTAAGAAAGTTTTTAATGGGTGTTAAATAACCATTAAAGATTTTGTAATTTAATCTTGTTCACTGGTGTGATATGCTCGCGTGTCTATGTGTATTTGATCTAGATTAAGTGTAAAACGATATAAAGGGCTAAAAGCAATAGATAATTAATGAAGTCTATTGGAATTATTCTTTTAACTATCGAGTCGTTTTCAATTGAATTTGACATTTGGTTTAAAATCCTTTCATCCTCCTCATCACTTCTGCATTTAGGATAACAGACGTTGATAACTAACGCATCACCCTCAAATGTTTAATTCGATACTTCACAATAGTTTCTTTATTTATCAAGTTTTTGAAACAATTTCGTAGTAAATATGAGTTAGAAATTGTTTTCCTTGTTGCCGACCTTTCTAACATAAATTTCATCTTTCCTTCTTTGAATTAAAATAAATTCTTTAAAATTTTTAATTAAAAATAAAGGAGTGCATCAAAGTTTACAATTTGGAGGTCAAGAAACAATGAGATCAATACTAATTGTTTAATTCTTTGTTTTCGATGCTATTGTCGAATGCGATTTTCATATTTGTTACTTATGACGATTTTCTGTCGAATTACCTTTTGTGAAGAAGACAGGAAACAATTTGGAAAAGTCAAAATGCATTTTGGACTCGAAAATCAGGAACAAAATTTCGTCAAAATATGGACTAAATTACCAAGAATCGGAGAATCTTCTGATACATTGCTAAAGAACGAAACCCGATTTTGGATCAGAAATATGAAGAAAGATGAACGGAATTTGGAGGAGATTACACCAGAAGTGGTTGAGAACGAAGCTTGGATTGGCAAAAAAAGGGAGTTACAAGAAAACAAACGCTTGGAAACTGACAGACTCCAAGATAACCTTTTACAGAAATTCAAGTTAATGCCAACGAATGAAAAGGAAAATTCGATAACACAGAAAGTCTGAAAATAAGAAGAGTCACTCAAAGAAAAAGCATAAATCATCGTCTTTATTCCAAGATAAAAGTCACATACCAAATCGTTTTTTCATCGAGTGACTAAGAAGAGAAACCGTAATTCCGACGAAAGAAAAATCTTATACCACGAAAGATCTAATTGGACAAACCCAAAGATAAAGAAGAACAGATGGAAAAAATCCTCCGCTTCCTCCACGAATATGGAAGGATCTTAAACATTTTCAACCTATCAAAGACGATGTTTATTTCAGGATGATGATGTTCGCAGTGGCTTTCCTATGTTCATTCCTCGTGTTCGGTGCCTTGGCCATTGTTCTTTGCGCGATTTCATTCGTCGCAAACGTCTGCAACGGACCTCGGAAAAGACGTCGAAACAAACATTCAAATGAGGAGTTCTCGAAACAACTATCGAGAAAAACATTAAGACGACAAAGCGACGAAAAGAAATCTTTAATTCGAGGAAGTTGTTCGCTTCAATCTCCTTCTGGGAGTGAATTCGGGCTATCGATTCCATACGGAGCATCCTCGATGAACAACGAATCAGTCGTAAGCAAGGATTCTTTCCAGGACCTCAATCATAAAAAGAGACGACAAAATCTTTAACTAATTTGAATATTTCTTCGGATTCGAGGAAGAGAATATTCCTCTTTTAGAATCTTCGAGAAACAGAGTGAAGAAATCGGAAATATTTCATTTGGATGAGGAAAAATAATCACAAATCAATGTCCGAAGGGTTATTTAAAATAAATAAAAAAAGGAAAAATGGAGGAGAGGAGAAGTTGGAATTGAAGAGTTTTCGAGACAAGCTGAACGTGTTCGTCCTTCTCACCGAACTCTGTATGACTTTTGTCAAAAAAATAAATAATAATTAAACCTTCAACGGTATATTCAATTATTTTCTGTTAGGAATTATCAAAGACAACGATTAATTTAGATAACTAAAATTGATTATAAATACAATTTCTGTAATAACTCAGGATATAATTCTTCAATTGAAGTTTTCGACTATTTACAAAAATATTAAATTTTTTAAATTATAAAAAAATAAAAAATTGAAGAATTATATCCTGAGTTATTANCATATTTACTAAATA